AAGGTGGAGCAATAGTCAAGAGTGAAATAGGTTCAGAATATTCTGTCATCGTATTGAATTTTTGCTTGAGTCCATCCAACATTTCTTCCAATGCCAATTCTCGTGGAGAAAGAAAATTTGCTGGAATGTTCCTGTGGTGCTCTGTCTCTGAATTATCATCTGCTGTTGGAGCATCATACTTCTCTGAAGCTTCGTTGAAAATCACATCCCCATCAAGATCAATTGAATGGAAGGAATTACCTGATCTCAAAGAACTCCCTGTGATATTGCTCGTAGAAATATCTACTAGAAATGGTGTGGCACTGGACAAATGATCGGTTGGAACATTTGATGACGATGAATAGACTTCCCGATTCGATGAAGATTCAGAGGGTAGTGATCCAGGAATATAAGTCAAAGTTCTTTTCCTACAGGAGCTACATAGTTTTGCATTTTCTGGCCAGAATGGAAATGTCTGTCGTAGTCTTTCTGAGATTGAACGCAGGTCTTTTCCATTGTGACCTTTCTCCCCAGGAACTTGCAATGGATTTGCACATCTTTCGACATGCGGCATCTTGTGGAATAGAAATGAAGAACAGTTCTGATCATTCAAAAAAAGGGAAAAAAATAATATTAATGATCGATTGGGTTTACCACTTCACTACTGAAATATTTTATATCATCACTCACCTTGATTAAAGTTGATGGAGAATAAATACAGGAGAATAACCGTCGGAGAATTTCTGTTAACGATACTGTAATGAACCGTGTGAGATGTTCAACACTCAAGTATGTGATGAGGACTAATCCAACGGTTATTATTGAGGCAACTTTATGGCTCGTATGGAAACTGAATTCCGAGAAATCGGTTGTTTATTCTCATCCCCACTCGGAACCTTTGATTTCATTGCGCTCCCATTCTTTGTATCCCTTGTTCAATGTTTGTGTCCAGAAATCCCAAGGTCATTTCCCAAGGAAATGCGGACAACGTTTGATTTCTCGGAGTTCGAAACCCGATCGGCACCCATTGGGTTTCGCACCCAAATCATCGGATTAGAAATCGCTCGCCCTACCGACCGAGCTAGCGTTGGCTTTCAATTTTTATTCAGAAGTAATACCCCGAGTGCTTCAATACTGTCGGGTATTTCTCGATAACTTTGTTGTAAACCAACAAAAGTGTCAAGTTTTGCAGGTTTAATAATCCCGAACGCTTGCGCGAGGGATTTTCCTGCAAAACTTGACACGATAACCTAAAAAACCGAAAAAATATATATATTAGTGCGAAATATCCGAAATAAAACGTCCCCCACCCTATCATTTGTCATCAATTGCTGCATTTTGATTGGCCCTGACTGTCCAAAATCCGTACGTGGAAAAATAATCATCATGATAAGTGAAAAATCATGTGAATTCGAGCAATTAACACTATTGCGAAAAATATTGGGCATGTCTGCCAGGTACAAAAGTGAAGCTATGGGGGTAAAAGTTTGAAACAATGTTAGACTCATATCGTGGTTGACTTTAAACATGCCAATGTTCTATCCCGAATTACAAAAAAATCCAGGGTAGCTGAATTGAGATGGAATGTCCCATGTATGATCGGAAAATCGAATGTGGCTATCCCATTTTGAAATACCCCGGAAAAGGTGAGTAATATCATCATCCATCGAAGAAAAAAAAATTATTCGATTTTCGAATGGCCCCTGCGAAACAGAGGGATTAAAATAACGAAAAACTTAAAAAATGGCTTAATATTCATCCGCATTATATTGTTTTATTTTAGTCTCAAAGTATATGAAAAAACGAAAAAATCTTTTATTTATTAAAATCGTCCAATTTGTTTGGAAGATATGATTTTTCAAAAATTTGAGCTTTTATTATTTGTCCTGGCCAAACAATTAATGTTAAAGGAGCGAAAATTTAGAGAAAGTATGTCCTCATGTAGTACTTGACTGGGAGTATGCTAATTCAGGATTCTGAGAAACAAAAAAATCCAGGGTCGCTGAGTTGACATGGAATGTCCCATATATGTTGTGGTGTTTTCCCTGATATATGGGGATTGGTCGAGGTAGACTAGGGACCAACGTAGCCAGTCGAAAGGACTGGTACCTTCGTGATCCCGTCGGGTTGATTCGTGGGGATAGGATAACGGAATGACCTATCGTCGCCGAGAATGAGCTATCGTCAGATCAGCCTCTCCACGTCCCAGGCTCTGAGGCGTCCCGGCTGATTCACACTTGACTCTGAAAACTCTCCCGAGTCGAAATACTCGGGAGGAGAATGAACAATGGAAGAGTCGGAAGACTCTCCAGAAAGGGCATGAATTTAATTCATTATGGGTATTATGCTGTAAGGCATAATACACGGCTTGCAAAGGCTCGTAAGGATGTGATAGTAATACTCCTGGTGGACCTCGCCCACTTTACTGTATCACGCTGATGTCAGCTGGGCAATCCATAGTCCAGCCAAAAAGTCCTCTGTGTAGACGAGAGTGCCTCGGAGGCCGGTTTTCGTCGAACCTCCCGTAAAGGTTCGGCTGGCGCCCAACAAACGAGCGATAGAGACGGCGAAAAAGTAGTTTGGATTTTTCCTGGGTTAACAACCCGAAAAATATCCTTACAAACTTTTCCTGCAAAATTCTACATTTTTATGATTTGATGGGGACCCATAATGATGAAAATCGTTTTAATCCCGAAATTACAGAAAATTCATGAATCTCAGAAAATTATTTGATGACTTTTTCTCAAATATCTAGTTACCATCAGTATGAGTCACCATTGGACCCTAAAAAATGAATATTTTGATCAGACTATATGTCTTGTATCATCAGTCTAATTCTCGTTTTGTAGAATAACTGGATGCGTCGCTCCAGTCCACTGGATGCGTCGCATATTTATGCAAGTGAATCCGCCGGGGGCCCATCTAAAAACTGCCGTCAAAACAACTCCGCCCTATCCGCCGCATGTTATTTTGGGGGTTGTTTTGACGGAGTTATTTTTAAATGGAATATTTAGACATGAACAATCTGCCAATTCTGTATACGAAAAATTGCCTCAAAATCGTGAAGGTTTTTTTCTATTGTTTATCGGGAAGTATAATCCAAAAGGAGGAAAACGAGCACAAATGAAGCTCTCTAACGTAATTATTTTTTGTTCCAAATTTTTTTTCTTTAATTTTAATTACAAGCCACTAAGAATAACAAAAAAAATTTAAACCCATAGATTTTGTCGAAATTTTTCTCAGCTTTTTGAAAAAATATTGTTTTTTATGTGTCCTTGTTTTGTGGCACTGAAAATTCAAAAAGAAAGTTTCAAATTGTCATTTAAGGTCATTCTCCAAACTTTCTTCTTTTTTTAATCGGAAAGGTCAGAAAATTTCCGAACAAAAAAAATATCTCGAAATCGGATAGAGTTTTTTTTGTATAAATCTTTTTTGTAGAACAGAATGAGATCTAAAAGCTTTCATCAAAATTACTCCATCTACTGTATATTTAGAGATATTCATCTAAAAATTATCTCTAGATATAGTTGCCGATTAGTTCTGTTTAGAATATCTCAGGATTGAAACAAAATATCGATTTCTTCATAAGAACCTTGTTTGGTGAGGAGCTAGGTTTAGGGTGGTTGTGGGTGTGTGATCAGAGGTGAGGCCGGAAAATGAATTCTAACACTGTTGCATAAAATCACAGTTTAATTGTGGGATCGAACCACGTCGTAAAATACTATATACACTTTATACACTTGTCACTCAAATTTAGTTCGTTGAGATTCTCAAATGAATATATTGTCTAAATTGATAATTCACTGTTGAGTCACTATTAAATGTCTTTGATAAATGTCTATCGATAATTGCTGTAACAATTAAATCTAACTCAAATGGTGAGGAACCGTACACGTTGAGAGACGCGTCGACACGCGCCTTCCGTTGATCCTACTCTATCTTTCGTTAATTGACTGCTGATGTACTTAACTCGTTGAGAAACTATAATACTTGTTAATTCACTAAATCTACGTTGATTTGACTCTAATGTTGATATTCTATATCATTTCTACTGAGTGGATGAACTGAACTAATAACTGAGTTGATAATCTATTACATGGCTGTTGAACTGCCGAGCGATTGCTCTAACGGACCTTTTCGTACTACTACCTTTCCGGGTGATTCGCTGACTCTTGACTGTTGACCCGAAGGGTCCCGATTGATTTCGAAGAATACCGACTTAATTCCCCGCTGAACTGATAGAATGATGACTATGTTTCAAACAAACCTTCCTTGTAGGAAAGAATGTAATCTACAAAAAAAAGTTTATAGCAAAAATCCCTCTCCTTTGCTTTCTGAGATATAGTCAAAAAACTAATTTTCGGATTTGAGTGACACATTTTGCTTCATATCTTCACCTCTGAATGAAGTTCTGCGGTGGGTTATAATGTGGTGGGTTATTCAGGAGATTCAATTCCTACTAATCAATGGTTAATAAATTGTCAAAATAGACGTAATTTTCCTGGATGTACTCTCATTTTTTATCGTCCTTTCGATTCATGTTTCATCGATCAATGCACATCACCATATTCATTCATTAAAACATTGCTATGCACATCTCATGTTGTGGTCAAATTTGAATACTGAAGCCTCCATGATTATACCCGCACGGTCACACCGGCGGGGGGGGGGGGGGGGGNCGAAGGGAGCGGGAAGGCGAAGCCCTAGTTAAGAATAAGTTTGACTGAATCCAACGGACATGCGATCTTCACACAAATAAACCATTTCTCAATATAATCCGAGGTTTTTTGCAATCGTGATATTATTCAATGAAATTTAAGTGAATCCTTCAAATCAATCATGTTTTTAGTCAGAAATCCAGTCAATTCTCTAATGTTATTCTCCATAACCTTTTCTCCCATTACCGCTCTGAAACACCCAATTAAATCCGATTTGCAATTAGCCAGCTATCTATTGGAAATTATTTCACCAGTCACTATCTAATTTATGAAATCTTAAATTTCCAGTTTTCCCCATCCAAAACGGAAACCATGCTCAACCACACAGCAGTAAAAAGTTTCCGAGTGGTAACGGTCATCACTCCACCTTTTGTTATGTACGACCCAGAGACAGATACTTGGTCAGGATACTGCATCGATCTTCTGGAGAACATTCGAAACATTCTCAAATTCGAGTACGAAATACGAGAAGTAGCGGACCGTGAATTTGGTTGGATGAAACCAGACGGCACCTGGAATGGGATGATCAGAGAGCTGAAAGATAAGCGCGCGGACATTGCTCTAGGTGCCTTATCAGTTATGGCAGAGAGGGAGAATGTCGTTGACTTTACAGTTCCTTATTACGATTTAGTAGGGATATCAATCCTGATGCAGAAGCAAAAGGCAGAGACTTCATTGTTCAAATTCTTGACAGTGTTGGAAAACGACGTTTGGCTATGTATTTTAGCTTCTTACTTCTTCACAAGCTTTTTAATGTGGTTGTTTGATAGATGGTCACCATATAGTTATCAGAACAACAAGGAAAAGTACAAAGACGATGAAGAGAAAAGAGAATTTAGCCTTAAGGAGTGTCTCTGGTTCTGCATGACATCTCTAACGCCTCAAGGAGGAGGCGAGGCACCCAAAAATCTTTCGGGGAGACTTGTTGCTGCCACTTGGTGGCTCTTTGGATTCATTATCATCGCATCATATACTGCCAATCTTGCCGCCTTTTTAACTGTCTCTAGATTGGAAACGCCGGTGGAATCTCTTGATGGTTTGAGCAAGCAGTATAAGATCCAGTATGCCCCGATTCGTCCTTCACAGGCTTACACATATTTCGATCGCATGGCTAAGATCGAAACTCGATTTTACGAGTAAGTTTGGGGGTATGAATGATGGAAATCAATAAAGGAAATGGAGTGATTGGTCTTTTTTAGTGTAGTGGTGCAGTGCTTCTTTACTCCTTTGGTGTTCTCAAATGGAGTAGAGATGAACTGAAACAGCTAGATAGATATACTCGCAAGCTGTAGATCATCATGTCAATCAGGAAAAATCACTCGTGCTTCGCAGTCTCACTTTTTTAGCCTGAAAAACATGACTTTCGTATGTTTGCGACGAACCTATCGGGAAATACCAGATAATTTTTACGCTCCAGCGATATTCGTAGGAGAATTTTTCGATTCAAATTTCAGCAAAATTCAGCCGAATTTCGGTTCCAGTATTATATCATGAGACGCAATCAACCTGTCTAGTTCAATGAGGGGTTCACTCGATTGAATCAACTTTTATTTTTGGTATAACAACTACTGGAGAAATTTATCAAAAAATTACTAGTCGAAAACCATGTAGGTTGTATCACATGACATCGAATCATGCAATTCTATTAGCGAAAATTTTAATGTGAAGCATTTTCTCCTGAATATCACTTGGACTTGAAATAAATCGAGTTTTTTCTTCACGCAAGCCTCGGATGTGTTTAAAACAACCGCAAGAAATATCCGATTATTTTGAAACATTTATACGATTAAAATTGTCAATGCTATGTGCAAAACGAAAATTATAATCTGTGTCATCCATTTGGAATGACAAAATTTATTATCTATAGGGTGTGAGGTGATAACTTTTTATTCCTCTTATCCCCTAGTGGGGAAAAATCATGGCTGGGAGAAGTTGAAAAGACAAAAGTAATATACACGGTTAGAATTCTGTTAAGAAAAAATCATAGATTATGGGAACAATCTAAAAAAATTGATTTGACGAAGTTTTTCATATTAAAAATTGAAAACAGGGAAGTAAACAATGAAAGATTCGGTGCCTGAAGTTGTCTCGAAATGGTGGAGATATAACCGGCAATGCGTTGATCAGATGTTAGGAATTTTTTAAAGGAAACCTTAGTCATGAGTAATAAAAAAATGCAGGCGTCACGAGATGTAATAAGTTGTAACCTTTCATAACATGTGCCTATGATGTAGAAATAACCGTGTTTCGGTGCTGCTTGCACCAAGCTACCTTAGGAAAAATTGTGGATTAAGGAGCGAAGGTGTGGCTATCTGACGGCAACACACCAAAATGTTATTTCAGGTTAAAGAAACTGTTTCAAACTTGAATCAAATGGATCAAAATTCAAGGACAAGTTTTGAATGAAGAAAACCATTAAGAACATTATCTATACAGCGTAGACATTAACGAAGACGCTTCGGGTCCCCACATCACGCCATAACGGACGGTATGAATTTACGGACGGTCGCAAAATATTCATGTCCCTAGATTTAGAGGTACACTCTCATCTAGTCCCGGTGGCCACCGAATATTTAAATTAGTCACCAAGCCTCGGCGGAATTATTTTTCCTCGGCAAATAAATGTATCTCGAGAACTTTTGGGAAATGTATTGTTGGATGTACGTGGTCCCGAAAACCACTGGACTTTTAAAATATGCAGCAGGTCCCTCGTAGTCGATTTTCAATGATTCGTGGGGGAATGAAAGTGCCGCAAGTAAACAATACCGGTTCTGGATACAAACTTGAAAACGCGCTGGGCGATGCCGCGTTCGCGAGGGGGGTGGGGTGGTTAGAGTAGGACGCGGATATCATATGGTTATGTCTTACAGTATAGCCCCCCACCCCGGGTCGTGGAGTTTAGTTGGAGATGATAATCGGTGGACATGTACGCGTTGGTTAAACAAGAGTGGCCTCGGCGGTCCTTTCGCAGTGCAGTGGAATTGGAGCGATGGTGTTTATACGAAGATATGTAAAAGTCCATCGACCCCAACAGCAGAGAGTGGTGTATGATTATACGGTGGAATAAAGAAGTTTAAAGTTGATGTCTCTGATTTCAACACCCCATCCCGACGCAAGGGGATTGTTATATCCAAAATTTTACTTCTTTACATTACCATCGACTGTCAACGCAACCAAGCTACAGAACTACCTAAGAAAATCTAGGACGGAAAAATGACCAATATGTGGGATAGTTTTTCTGTTGTATTACCTAGCAATAGCAGTATGAAGTATTATCCAAATAATGGAACAACGAGTTTCATCACCAATTACTATGAACGATCAACCTACAAGGTAAATGGAGTGTTGACTTGACAGAACTACATTTACCAATTACGTTCCTATACATATATTCGGATACTGATGAAAATTACGTGTCATTAGAAAATCGAAGTAATTCGACGGAGGAAGATATGAGAATAATAGAAATGAGCATTAATTAATCGCCCAACGACAATAGTCATTGACAATAGACCGGATGAAACGTTGATGACACATATAGAAGAAGAACATGAACTGCACGGTGTATAGTGTTGCAAATTTATTGACTGTCATCAATGATCTATCGTTCATGAAAGATCACGTAAAAGTGGCGATGAATTGCGGGGGTTATGTATCTGTAGTCAGAACTTGTGACCCTTCTTCATGTAAATAGTCTTTCCCCGTTCTACATCGGGTACCTTCATTGAAAACTATTTTAGGATTTTCAGATGAAGATAAAGAGCTATTCCTTTCAGGTACATTGTGCGAATACATGGCATCAATGTCTGCATCTCTCTCACGAACTCTTCCACAGAGTATGTATGTCTAGACAGATATATGTGAGAGTTATATGACTGGTGATGCACACGCACCATTATTGAAGGTCGTACCTTTGGATATCGATGATTATAAATATGGATCACTGAAAATCAAGACATTTTCTTCACCATTGTATGTGCTGCTAGTATGGATGAAATTTCACAGTATGGAAGTGGATATACGAGATGAACACGGATTATCTATACCATTCGAGTACGGTACGTTGACACTGCCACTTCATTTCAAACGCATTGATTAGAGGCGAAATATGGTTGAATACCTCTTTGGTGAAATAGCTCAATCAGGAGCAGGTTATAACAGAGAGGCACACGGTGGTATGAGTCGTGTGTACATTGTTAGTGTCAATCAAAAAGAGCATAGCATTGGAAGTTTTTTAGGTGGTTTGTTCCGACGATTACTACCACTACTCAAGTAAGGCGCTTCTGTTGTTGCTATTGCTATTGCTAAAAAACTAATGGCCGGATCAAGCTGAACTTTGGCATGGAGTTAGTCTCAAGTTATACAAATTAACTGAAAAAATTCCAAACTTATTGGAATGATTTTTTCCATTTAATTCTCAAATTTACGAAGAAATGACAACCGACTGGATAATGTCACGCACAGACATGGTTCCCAAACTTCGTATTTTTACGTTTCAGACCATTCTGCATCATTTCCAAGCAAAATTAGAAAATGTGAAAATCGAACGATTGCAATGCTTCCATCCGGAAGCAAAAAGGACTAAAGTTTGAGTTAACAATCTGAAATTTTGTCGGATAATTGGTATTACTTTAGAGCATTTGTGGGCGCAAGTTCAGCTTAATCGGCCCAGTCGTTTCTGAGATATAGCAATTTCTCAAAAATCTTTTTTCCTTCATATCTCATAAACTACGTAACCGAATTGAAGTTTTTTGACGGGAAAGTATTCCTTACGATAATATCTATCGAATAAAATGAAAATATTACTACGTAACTAGAGTCAGTTTAGTAATAATCAGCATTTTTCATTTTTACTGTCTAGAAATATGTGATCTTAAACAACAATTTGCCAGGGAAAATATTCAAACGATAGTCACAATCTAATTATTTAGGTCTTTGCGGCAATATTATTTTTATTATTATAATCAAACGATCAAATAATTCGTACAAAATATCGACTAAAAGATGGCAAATATCAAAAGTTTCTTCCAAAAAATATTCGCTAAATAAATCGCAGCAAATCAAATTTTTAAATAAATCGTTGTCAATACTATCTGTAAAGCTCCTCGGAGTATATCGCCAAAATCAAAATGTTATGCTTAAAATTATGAGTTCGTCAAATAAGAAAAAGATTTGTAACGCAGAATATCAGTACAATTAACTAAGAAAAATCAGTCGACATTTGCATTTAAAATATAAAATAAAAAATCAAATGAAATATTACACAACAGAATTACAAATAATATCGCCAGAGAAATTGGGCTACTTATCTCTCTAAATGCTCGGTGAGAAAAGAGGATGAGTCCTCTTTCCCAAAGATATCCTAGCCTTGCTATCCCCTCTACTGACATTATTTACTATCCCTTCTGCTGAAATTATTTTTCCGCAAGTAATACCACGACAGCTTCAAAATTATCGAGCAATTCCCGATAGGTTCGTTGCAAACAAACGAAGGAGTGAAGTTTTTCAGGTTAAAAAATCACGAGTGTGAAGCATTCGTGATTTTTCCTGAAAAACTTGACGACTTCGTTTGTGTGCAGGGAATCTTGAGGGAATGACTCGATTAAGGATGTTCTACACCCTTTCTGCCAAAATTCACGTTTTTTTAATTTTTCTGGCAAACTTATGATGGAATTGACGTGAAAAAATATAACGTTTTTGCGTTTTGTCATTATTTAATGACTGACGAAATTTTAAGGTGGTGCGAACATTTTCCTGCGTTTTCTCTAAACTGTTAAAAAGAATCACAAAACTGTAGAAAAAACGCATGAAAATTATCGCACCACTACGCAACTTCGTGAGCCATTAAAGAATGACAAACCACAAAATCGTTATATTTTTTCACGTCACTCCCATCGATATTTGCCAGAAAAATGAAAACAATGTCAATTTTGGCTAAAAGGGTGTCGAACATCCTTAATTTTGAAGCTCGAGTAGTATTCGGGAGGGAATTTTCCCATCCAAATGTCGGCCAAAAGAATTGCACTATGAGACAAAATTGATCCGACAGTTCCAACCAGGGGTTCACTCGACCACGGAATGTTTTATTTTCCACAAATATATTCAACATGAAAAATTACTAGTTGAATTATCAAAA